AATGTCTAACCTAATCAATGATCGTGTGTAAATAGTAGGCAGAACAAGTAGCAGGAGGAACAGTATAAATGCAGACATTGCTAAGAGATAAAAAAAGGATCATGTTTATGGTAATATGAGCCGTTTCCTTATAAGGAGACATTCAGCGGTCTTTGTCCAAGCAGACGATACTACAGTCATTTATAAAATCTTATTATTGAAAACAATTTTTCTAGGAAAATTGGTCTCTCAAGTTCAGTGGTTGTTTCCACCCTCGACAATTTTGACGGGGACCTCGTTCATAGCGTTTGTTCTTCGTTTATTATGGAACTTCAATATCGTGGTTATATCATTATTTACTCTTCGAGATACATGTCCTATCTATTCTACTTGTTGCTGCTGTTGAAAATTCGGACCAGGAGCCATCACCAATTTAAGATGAACAGATGTTCCCTCAGTGATGCCCCGTGCCTTGAGCGACTATTGACATTTAAACTGAGGCCAAACCTCTAGGACTCGTACATAAAATCCATCGCTAAAGATGCTAGAAAAATCGCCGGTTCTCTATAGAGCTTTAGTAAGTGTTATGGAATCTTACCCATAATAATAATAATAAGGGACTATTCCATACTTAATAAATACTGCGCCTCAGGAGTAAGCAAGGAGTCAGTAGTTCAAGTCGAGTCAAGAGTCGAGTCAGAGGCAGTCCGAAACACAGTCGCGCTCAGACAATTACTGCAAGACATTGGAATAGCGATACTGGTCGAGACTAGATTGTTCTCTCTACTAAACCTGATTGTTCATACTAACACTTCTACTTCTCTGTATATATTCCTGTTTGTAATATATCTGTGTTATTCCATATCCGTGTTCGATTATTGGTTCTACCTTGGACTATCCCCGTGGTACATGGAACCGGACCATAACAGTAAGATTATTTATTTCGTAAAAAATAGAAAATTGTGGCACAAGGCCGAAGGGGAGATGGAGAGAGGCTAGTTTTCATTAGCTATCCTAGTCCTAGAAAATCAGAATCCCGACTTATTCATTCATTACAATTTGTCCATTCACCACAAGAACTCATCCATCACCACTCAATCCTGCATATACCATAATACCACATATTCGCAGGGGACCTACAGAACACGATGTAAAATTTTCTTTTCAATGTTCATAAAGTCTGTTCATATGAAAATTTCATCATTTATTAAATAATGGGGTGGGAGGATGAAACCAGAAAACAAACTAAAAGGAAAAACAAAGATAAAAACTAAAACAAAACAATATTAGTAGGACCCGTCCATTCCTCAAAACAATAAGAGTGGCCGCTGTATTCTGTCGATAGACAAAATCAAGATAAAAAAAAACTCACTAATGGAATGAGAAGGATAAAATATAAATAACGGAAATGAGAAAATCAAAGGCTGACCCAGTCGGGATGAAAAAGGGGTGACAAAAACAAACTAGGGGAGGTTGGGAATCTCGACGTGGGTCATAACAAAAGAGAATGCTGGGAACAGGCAGGGTGCAACACTTATTCACATTTTTACGTTAGACAATATTATGTTTTCCTAGTTAATGTGTATACGGTCTGAATAAGTACATGACGCTTCATGTTGTCTTCTATCGTTTCGAACGACAGATCAAGCTGAAAATGAAGTAAGGCTGCCATATATGGGCAGGGACTGCCTTCTCTTCACTTTATCCTTTCAATAGAGTCCAATAGCGTCAGTTACATGGGGATATTTTAATATGACTGAATAAAATTGGTTACAATAGTAAAAGAGGAAAAATAGACGTTATTTTTTTTTCCGCCGTTCTTTTTCATCTGGTTACAGATCGTCCAAACTTCGGTGTAATTTCAGTTCTTGTAATTTCAATGAGTTCTTTACATGCACGCTATTACGTTCCAGTGAACTTTCATGGGAAAGATCCGCCATACCGAGCACATTGACGTGAAACATCTTAATTCCCTCCGTATACTTTTGGTAAGATGTAAGTTCCACTCGAGCAGCTTCTACCCCGGGAACCATTGCTTCGTGAACCGACACCCAAGAAGATACTTCCCCAATCACTACAATCTTAATCTGTAAAAGTTTAGGGTTAACCGTTATCTTCCATACATATCCGTATAAGCTGCGGCTCTGACTTTCTAACTTTCTACATCGAACGGCCCTCAGGCCTTGTACAAGGTGAACATCATTGTAAAAAAAAGTTATTTCTTTGTGATTCTGCAATTACCAGTGCATGACGTTGGAGGTTGTACGTTTCTCACTAAGACCTACAGGACCTGTTTTTGCAATCTAGTTTTAATCATTGATTTACTAAAGTGTTCGTATACAGCTGATGGATTTGACCAGTAATTCTCAACCGCCGTGCTGCAACACACTAGATCCTCTTAAGTGTGTAGTAAAATATTGTAACGTATATATATATATATATATATATATATATATATATATATATATATATATATATATATATATTCATGAATTATTCATACAGAAAACAAATACAAAGGTTAATGATTTAATTGCAACAGAAATTTATAAAAACAAGGATCTTTTTCATTCATAAACAGGTTCGGGGTTTTTGTATATTATTTGAATTGTTCGCGACGATGGATTTCTCGCCAATTAAATCATTAACCTTTTGTATTTGTTTTTTTGTATGAATAATTCATGAATTTGTAAATTAATTGCGCCTTTATTGAAATATATATATATATATATATATATATATATATATATATATATGTGTGTGTGTGTGTGTGTGTGTGTGTGTATATATATAAATGTAAATGACAATAGGGAAACTGTAATAGTTGCCGACGCGTTTCTTCAATGTGGACTTTAAAAAAGTAAATAACTCACTCAAGAGGAAAATCCTCGAGAGTACTGCCATTTAATATTACCCAACTACGCCCGGGTTGTTTCCCTTTTTTTTTTGCTTTCTTAACAGAATTACTAGTCTCCCAAACAAACGTACACAACAGTATCAAGAAATCAAAAGAAAATGGTTGAATCCGTCAACACAGCAATAATAACAATATCTCCACACGTGACAGTAAATGGCGTAATTTTCAGTTAACAATATGAGGATAGCGTCCTGTAAATTCTTCCAGTTGCTAAGGACATTTTGTTTTTGTTATTATTAGTTACTTTATTTAATAAATTCATTTTGTTTTGCCTTGAAAAAGTCTAAATCGGACGAAACGCGTCGGCAACTATTACAGTTTTCCTATTTTCTTTTACATTTATAAATATTGTCTTTTTCTACAGGTTAACTCTGAGAAATTTTTCATGTATATATATATATATATATATATATATATATATATATATATATATATATATATATATGTATGTCTGTGTGTGTGTGTGTGTGTTTGTAAGTAGTAATGGAACAGTGTTACTATTTGAATAAATTAAAAAATATTAAACTTTTTTCAAATAATTATTCACTATTTTTTGATTATGTTATTTTAAATACATTGTTTTAATATTCATTTTCATTAAAAAAAAAAGTGTTGTTATAAGGGCTCAAAATAAAACATTTGACGGTACCCCCTTGATAGAGTTTGGATTTCAATCAGTCCGTTATGTGTCATGCGTGATGCACACTTAGGCTTTCGATACATGACTGATGAAGCAGATTTTTCCCGCAGTAGGTCGCCATTTCTTTCTGCTGTAAAACAGTTGCCATCCAAGGCTACAGAACCAGGTCTGCCCTGATATTTACCCATAGCTGGAGGGGAGGGGAGAAGAAGAAGAAGATTCATACCTTAACCAAGGATATTATTTCAATACAAAAGGAATTTCCTACATTATCTAAAAAAAGGCTGTATCAGTTTTATTTAAATTTTCTACTTGTTATTTATGTGAATTGGGCTTCTCAATCCTAAATAACACCAAAAATAAGGAGGGCGAAAGACTACGCTCAACTGAAAAAGAAATGAAGGACTCCTTATCGCACAAAACAAGGACTCCTTATCGAAAACAAAACAAAACAAAAAAAAAAAAAACTCCAAGCGCGTTTCACATTAAATAAGCCGCACAAATAGTTTAATAGGAACATTGAAATAAAATAAGTTTATATTTGTGTGTGTATATATTTTTAAGAAATCTATAGTTTATTTCATAACATTTAAATGTAAACACTTTTAAAATTTTACTAAGTGTGCTGTGATATTTTTATTTGCACCTTGGTGTAACGTTGCTTAAAAATATCGAGAAACACAGGTTTAGGCATTAAGAATGGGCAGAAGCATTGGTTAGAAAGAAAAAAAAAGAAGCTGAAACCTTCCCATGTAGATCTGATTCAAGTCCAGTGTGCATCGTTATGTTTTCTGTTTTTCTTTGCCGTTTCTGTCTTTCCCTGTACGCAATCGATATCGTAAACAGTTAGGCATACAGGAAACGGAATTGATAAAACCATCAACGTTAGTTTCGTAATAAATAACATCGTTTTATCTCTATGATTTTTTCATTGCCGACATTTTGTTCATGTCGAAGAAGTGAACTAGACACCGAGCATCAAGACCGGGTGGTCAGTCTAACGCTAAGAAATGGATAATTTCGATATATAGAATGCAAAAACTTCTCAGAAGGCTTTAAGCTAAAGAAAGCATGGAGTAATAAGAACATTTATTTGGAAAATTAAGAATACTGAAGTGTAATTTTAATATCATCCCTTCTATATGACAGGAGAGGCTAGATAACTTCCTCACAAAGGAAGAGAAGTCTTGAGGCAATAGAAATATTGTTCTACATATCTATGTTGGAAATACCATAAATGGAGTATGTAACCATTGAGGGAATTTTAAGTTGAATCAGAATAAATATATATATATATATATATATATATATATATATATATATATATATAGAGAGAGAGAGAGAGAGAGAGAGAACATTCTGGAGCACATAAGGAAAAAAGATAGTACATACTGAAGGAGAGACACAGACATAGAGCAAGTCTATGACTAGCAAATTTTTGTTTTTCATCTATTTATGTGTATCATGTCATCTACCTTCTTTCTCTCTTTTTCCTCTTCTGGCTATCTTTTTTTTTGCCTTTCTCACATCATTCCTTCTATTTCTTCTTCTAAGTTGCTCTTTCTTTTTTCTTTCTTTCTTTCTTCCTTTCTTTCTGTGTGTATTATGAATTTCCTTTTTTCATTCTACTCCTATTCAAATTTTTTCTTCTTCTCAAGTTTTATCTTTCTTCCTTTCTTTGTTCTTTCTTTCTTTCTTTCTTTCTTTCTTTCTTTCTTTCTTTTTTCGTCTTCCTCTTTATTTATTCGTATTCAGTTACTTTTCCGCTATTTTCTCAATTTTTTGTTTCCTTTTTGTTCTTTGCTTTCATTCTTTCAAGTTCTTTTTTCTTTCTTTCATCTTTCCTTTCATTTGTTCTTTCTTTTTTCTTTCTTTCTTTTTTCTTTCTTTCTTTTCGTTTCAGTTACTTTTCCCTCTTTTTTTCAAGTCTTTTGCTTTCCTCTCAGTTGTTCGTTCTTTCTTTCTTTCTTTCTTTTTTCTTTCTTTCTTTCTTTCTTTCTTTCTTTCTCCTCTGCTTCTATTCGTATTCAGTTACTTTTCCCATGCTATTTTTTCTTTTTTTTGCTTTCTTTCTTTTCAGATCTTTCTTTCTTTTTTCCATTCTTTTTCTTTTTTCGTATTCCCTTTTTTTTCTTTTTGCTTTTCTCAGTTGTTCTTTTTTTCCTTTTTTTTTTTTTCTTTCTTTTTTTCTTTCTTTCTTTCTTTCTTTCCATTGTTCTTTCTTTTTCTTTTTCTCTTTATTCGTATTCAGTTTTTTCCCTTCACATTTTTTTCAAGTCTTTTTGCTTTCCTCTCAGTTGTTCTTTCTTTCTTTCTTTCTTTCTTTCTTTCTTCTTTTCCCTCTTGCTTCTATTCGTATTCAGTTATCTTTTGACGCCACATTTTTCAAATTGTTCTTTCTTTCTTTTCAATGCCATTGTTCTCTTCCTCTTCACGACCTTTAAATCTTCTTCACCATTGTTCTCTCTTTCTCTCTCTGTTTCTTTCTTTTTCAAATCTTAATTCTTCTGAAGAGATACTAATTATGACAGATGCACACAGAAGGCAAATCCTTCAAAAAAGCATTACCACATTTCAATGTTCATTCCGTCTCAGTCGCTATTCAATTTAAAGCTAATTTCACGTCAATTTGCTACTCTCAAAATACAAAAAAAAAATATCGATTTTTTTTAAAATGGAGGAAAAGATGAATGCTCAAGACGAGTATATTGAAATATAAAGCAATATATCCAGGAAGAAGTACCCCCCCCGCAAAAAAAGAAAAGAAAATTAAAGAAAAGAGCAATTTGTTGAACTGTAACATAAGTGAAGAAATATTTCAAGAAAGTCAGGTAGACCAACCAACCAGTAAAAGAAAAATAAAGAAGGAAACGAAAATTTAAGAGAAGAATTGAATAAGAGTAGAAAAGAATTTTAATATATTCTACACGAATGATCCACCAATGAACGGGCATGGATAACGTGATCAAAGTACGGACACCCATATCCCGTGACTTATAGTAATTTAATAATAATAATTATAATAAAAAAACATTGCGCATCAATAATTACGTGACTAAGAAATATATGTGGTGAAACCTACCGCTAAATGGATTATGATGATGCTGTCTGAACCCTATAAGATCTATGTAATTCGACCAGATTCGATAAAAAAATAGCATTTACTCCGATGGACGATTTGAGGCGCATTCCTGTGAATGAAGTTGGGTGCTTAAACCTATTTAGTTGGTGAGGGAAAGACGATTTCAAATAAATCAGCCGCGTTTTTTGTTCGGCTTTTCTCCCTTTCTCCATCCGATGTCCATGAAAAGAGAAATTTCCCAATAAGAAATACAAAGAGATGAAGAAGCGAAACAAAATAAAATAAAACTAAAAGTAACAAAATAATTTCAACTCACTAATTAAAATTGTAATTAACAGAAAAGAAGTGACGTTGTAACGGTTATGGGCGCGGAAAGTGGCATCGACGAGTCGAGTTCGAATCCTACCTCATTCTTTATTTTTATTCATTTTCGTACTGATGTCTATTGAACAGGGTAGAACAGGCTGTCTAGTTTTGAGTGGTAGACAGATTAGGAGAACAAGAATGTCAAGCGGGAAAGTAATAAAATAAAGAAAAAAAATAATAGCAGAGGTAAAAATGAAAGCGAAGAAAAGTCCTTTACTTTTCTTGGCTTTCTTTTTTACCTCTGCAAAAAGAAAGAAAAAGAAAGAAAAAAAAGAAGAAGCAGAAAAAAGTTAGAATCAGGAAGAATAAAGAGGAATAAAAAGATCGTAAAGAGAAAATATAGAGAAAGGAAAAAGAAAAGAGGAAATAGAGTAAAAGAAAGTGTTATGGTCCGGTTCCTTGTACCACGGTGATAGTCCAAGGTAGAACCAATAAAGAAGAACTCGAAGGCGGATATGGAATATCACAGATAGATTACAAACAGGAATATATACAGAGAGGTAGAAAAGTGTTAGTACGAACAATCAGGTTTAGTAGTAACTAGCAGCAGAGCCCGGCGTTGCCCGGGGATGTAACAGTAAGAGATAGATCAAATATCGACCATCATAAAGACTGAAAAATAAAATTGACAAAGATTATTGTTTAAGGTTGACGGACATGCATGTCTTAATTATACTTTTTTTTTTTTTTACGAATTGGTCAAACCTAAACTCAAACAAAAACATTGTTTACAATCGTTATGAGTCTATCGATTGAATAGAATTTTATTATAAACAATTGTCTTGTAAATGAAATTTTTAAAGCATTCTGAATATAAAAATAAAGAAAAAAGTGTGCAAGACAATAAGAAACACAAGTTTTGTTGAAATCGGTTGAAAAATGTAGGAAATCCGATCCCATATATAAACGAACACACACACACACACACACACACACACACACACAACCTGGGTTTTATAATAAGTATAAGTCGATATGAGTTGTCCCCCTTTCATTCTCGCGATGCCCCTTAATCGTGTTTTCAAATTGATTTCGTGCAAAAACAATTGTGTTTTTCCAATTTTTGGTGCTGTCAGAACCACCGCAAGGTAATTTTACGTAGTCCTGTGAAGTTTTGTTGAAATCCGTTGAAAAATGTAGGAAATCCAATCCAATATATAAACGTACAGACACACACACACACACACACACAACCTGGGTTTTATAATAAGTATGATTGTCTGAACGCGATTCTGTTTCGGACTGCCTCTGACTCGACTGACTGACTCGTCCTGACTGACTGACGGACTTCTGACGGACTTCACTCCAGACTTCAGACGGAACTCTAGACATCAGACTGAACTCCCTGCTTCCTCTTGATGCGCAGTATTTATTACGTATGGAATAGTCCATTATGTTATTATGGGTAAGGTCCCATAACAGATATTATGGGTAAGGTCCCGTAACAGAAAGAATAAAGGATAAAGAGAAATTGATAGAAAACTACTAAAAAAGAAAGGAAAGACAATGAAGACAAAAAGAAAGAGAAAAAAAGAAAAGAGGATAAAGAGAAAAAGAAAAAAACAAAAAGAATAAAATATGAATGAGAAAAAGAAAGAAAAAAGCGTGAAGACAGAAAGAGCAAAAGAAGAAAAAGAGAAAAGAGGATAAAGAGAAAAAGAAAGAAAAAGAGAGGATAAATACAAAAAGAAAGAGAAAAAGAAAGAGAAAAAGAAAGAAAAGTGGATGGGAAGAAGAAAAAAAGGAGGAAAAAAAAAAAAAAAAAAAGACAGAAAAAGGAAATCGAATGAAAAAAAAAAAAGAAAAAAAGTGAATAGAAAAAGAAGAAAAATAGGAAAAAGGATAAATACAAAAAAAGAAATAGTAAAAAAAAAAAGAAAAAAAAATGAGGAAAATCAAATGAAAAAAAGAAAAAAAAAAAAAAATGAATAGAAAAAAAAGCAAAAAATAAAAAAAAAAGGATGAAAAGAGGAGAAATAAATAAAAAAAAAAAAAAAAAGGATAAATACAAAAAGAAAAAAAAAAAAAAAAATGAGGATAAATACAAAAGAAAGAAAAAAGAAAAAAAAAAAAAATACAAAAGAAAAAAAAAAAAAAAAAAATGAGGATAAATACAAAAAGAAAGAAAAAAAAAAAAAATGAGGATAAATACAAAAAGACAAAAAAAAAAAAATGAGGATAAATAAAAAGAAAGAAAAAAAAAAAATGAGGATAAATACAAAAAAAGAAAAAAAAAAAAAAAAATGAGGATAAATACAAAAAGAAAGAGAAAAAGAAAAAAAATGAGGATAAATACAAAAAGAAAGAGAAAAAGAAAAAATGAGGATAAATACAAAAAGAAAGAGAAAAAGAAAAAAATGAGGATAAATACAAAAAGAAAGAGAAAAAGAAAAAATGAGGATAAATACAAAAAGAAAAAAAGAAAAAATGAAAAAAAAAAATGAGGATAAATACAAAAGAAAGAAAAAAGAAAAAAAATGAGGATAAATACAAAAAAAAAAAGAAAAAGAAAAAAATGAGGATAAAAAAAAAAAAAAAAAAAAAAATGAGGAAAATACAAAAAAAGAAAAGAAAAAAAAAAAATGAGGATAAATACAAAAGAAAAAAAAAAAAAATGAGGATAAATACAAAAAAAAAGAAAAAAGAAAAAAAATGAGGATAAATACAAAAGAAAAGAAAAAAAAAATGAAATGAATACAAAAAGACAGAGAAAAAGAAAAAAATGAGGATAAATACAAAAAGAAAGAGAAAAAGAAAAAAATGAGGATAAATACAAAAAGAAAGAGAAAAAGAAAAAAATGATGATAAATACAAAAAGAAAGAGAAAAAGAAAAAAAATGAGGATAAATACAAAAAGAAAGAGAAAAAGAAAAAAGAGGATAAATACAAAAAAAGAAAAAAAAAAAAAAAAATGAGGATAAATACAAAAAAAGAAAAAGAAAAAATGAGGATAAATACAAAAAAAGAAAAAAAAAAAAAAATGAGGATAAATACAAAAGAAAGAAAAAAGAAAAAGAAAAGAAAAAAAAAAAAAATGAGGATAAATACAAAAAGAAAGAGAAAAAGAAAAAAAATGAGGATAAATACAAAAAGAAAGAGAAAAAGAAAAAAAATGAGGATAAATACAAAAAGAAAGAGAAAAAGAAAAAAATGAGGATAAATACAAAAAGAAAGAGAAAAAAAAAAAATGATGATAAAAAAAAAAAAAAAAATGAGGATAAATACAAAAAAGAAAGAAAAAAAAAAAAATGATGATAAATACAAAAAGAAAGAGAAAAAGAAAAAAATGAGGATAAATACAAAAAGAAAGAGAAAAAGAAAAAAAATGAGGATAAATACAAAAAGAAAAAAAAAAAAAAAAAAAGGATAAATACAAAAAGAAAGAGAAAAGAAAAAAAATGAGGATAAATACAAAAAGAAAGAGAAAAAGAAAAAATGAGGATAAATACAAAAGAAAAAAAAAAAAAGAGGATAAATACAAAAAGAAGAAAAAAAAAAAAAAATGATGAATACAAAAAGAATACAAAAAGATAAATACAAAAAAGAAAAAAAAAAAAAAAATGAGGATAAATACAAAAGAAAGAGAAAAAAAAAAAAAAATGAGGATAAATACAAAAAAGAAAGAAAAAAAAAAAAAATGAGGATAAATACAAAAAGAAAAAAAAAAGAAAAATGAGGATAAATACAAAAAGAAAGAAAAAAAAAAAAAAATGAGGATAAATACAAAAGAAAGAAAAAAGAAAAATGATGATAAATACAAAAAGAAAGAAAAAAAGAAAAAAAAATGAGGATAAATACAAAAAGAAAGAAAAAAAAAAATCATGATAAATACAAAAGAAAGAAAAAAAAAAAAATGAAAAAATAAAAAAGAAAAAGGATAAATACAAAAAGAAAGAAAAAAAAAAAATAAAACAAAAGAAAGAGAAAAGAAAAAAATGAGGATAAATACAAAAAGAAAGAGAAAAAGAAAAAAATGATGATAAATACAAAAAAAAAAAAAAAAAAAAGAGGAAAAAAAAAGAAAAGGATGAAATACAAAAGAAAGAAAAAAAAAAAAAAGGATAAATACAAAAAGAAAGAAAAAGAAAAAAAAATGAGGATAAATACAAAAAAAAAGAAAAAAGAAAAAGAGGATAAATACAAAAGAAAGAGAAAAAAAAAAAAATGAGGATAAATACAAAAAGAAAGAGAAAAAGAAAAAAAATGAGGATAAATACAAAAAGAAAGAGAAAAAGAAAAAAATGAGGATAAATACAAAAAGAAAGAGAAAAAGAAAGAAAAGAGAACTCTGAGAGAGTAATGAGAAAAATAAAAGCGAAATAAAGAAAGAAAGAAAAAAAAAAAGAAAAAAAAGAATAATACAGTGTAACCCGGATGTAAGAGACCCGGATATAAGAGAAACTCGGATATAAGAGAGATTTTCTCTGGTCCCAAATTAGAGCCTGTGTTAATGTATATATAATAGACCAAACCCGGATATAAGAGAAACCCGGATATAAGAGACTTCTCCTGTCCCGACAACTCTCTTATATCCGGGTTACACTGTAAAGTAGATTTTCTCTGGTCCCAAATTAGAGCCCATACTTACCTAAACAAAATAGACCAAACCCGGATATAAGAGAAACCCGGATATAAGAGACTTCGTCTCCGGTCCCGACAACTCTCTTATATCCGGGTTACACTGTAGAGTAAAGAACTATTGAGAGAGACGAATAAGAAAACAAATTGAGAGAAATGGTAAGTAGGGAGAGAAAGAGAAAATAGTAAAAGAAAGAATGAATGATCAGAAGAAAAACAGTGAAAATTCAAATTAAAAGGGAAAAAAAGAAAATAAAAATGAAAGAAATAAAGTGAAGAAAGAAATTCGAAAAGAGAGACAGAAATAAAAATCCAGAGAAAGAAAGGAAGCAAATAGAAAAAACAAAACAAAAATAAAGGAAAACCTTAGTGAAACGCCGAAAACACATCGCAATTACGAGATAATAAAGAAAAAAACACTGTGGCGAGATGATGACGACCTCCTTCCTGAAGGGATATGGTATTAAAAAGGAACTACTATACAAGGCAAATGAGGCGAGGCACCGAACGAGAATCAAATTTATTAGGATCTGCGTGGCCTGTTCGGTACTTACTGTTAGAGATTTTCATGACGGTCGTCCTCGAGTATAGAATCCAGAGGTTGGCAGTGAATATTTCGGAGACAGTAGGAAAGCGTACTTTAGGTTCGCAGTGGATATCGCAGCAGAGCGTAGTCATGTTCGCCTCACAAGTTGGCTCTGGTCATTCCGGTAGGTTAAAAAAAAAATTGGCCGCCTTTATACACGACGGATACAGTGTTCTGCGGCTCCTGATTGGTTAATCTTCTATTGGTAGACTATAAAGGGAAATAAGTCATTTTGACTCGCTCACTAGTTATATACGTTATATACCCAAAAAACCGTGACACTTACATCATGCTGGCGAGTGATAAAAACAATTTCAATTACCTGCTTACGAAATACACCTCACTTGTTGATAGCTCTTCGAACCTACACCCGCTAGCTTCATCTTCGTACGCGAAACAGTTACGTAGTAAGTTTTATACGGATTATTTTGTTTAGTAGGTCTTCTCTATATAGGCCGGTTAATATTAATTTCACTTAAAAAAAAAAAAAGCATCTTAACACAAACACGTGTACCGACTAAAATAATGTTTATAGTAATAAAAATAATGTCGGATTTCTTTTTTTTTTTTAAGCATTACGCCCCGAGCAAAGCGGGAAGCCACTAGGACTCAAGTGGTTACAGAAGATTTGTAGCAAAATCAGATAGGAGTGATAGAAGAAAGGATGAGGAGAAGGATAGTGGATAGATCAAGACAACTGGAGATGTCGATTGACATTACATTTGAATAGTTGGAGATTATAGAGATCAGGGAAACAGTGATAGGGAAGGGTGTTCCACAGGTGAGAGGTGCGAGGTATGAAGCTATTGTTGTAGAAGAGACGGCTACATTAGTAGTTTCTACAGTGAAAGTGTGAGAGCGGGATGCCAGCTTTATAAGGCGCTTGATTTCATGACGTCTGGGAACCAGTGAAAGCAGCCCCTCGGAGCAATTACCATGAAAGTATTTGTAAAAAAGACAGAGAGAGGCGACGGAGCTTCTGTGAGAGAGCAACTGTAGACGAGATGCCAGATCAGGGCCAATTATATTACATATCCGCCTCTGGATCTTGTCAAGAATTCCGAGACAAACAGAAGGTGCACCAGACCATATATGGCAGCAATACTCCATGCGAAACAAAAAAAACCCCAAAAAACAAAAAACAAACTCCATTTAAAAATTACTGTTTACGTTTCGGGTACCAACATGAAGCTATCAGCTATAGATTCGGGGAAGTCACAACGAAAGGTAATCATTCCTTAAATAGGACCGATAATTTATCATGACGATCTCCTGTAGCCAACTTGTTAACAGGCACACTTCGCTTATTTTACTGATATAATAGTATAAATATTTTCCTTCTGGGGAGGTCTTGGCTACAGCGCCAAATAAGCAAAATGTTGCATAGCCCCCTCGTTCTGAGGGTCTCTTGGTTGACGGTCTTGAGGCAATCATAATAAAAATGTCTTCCTCTATTTCTTCTCTCGGCCGGGTAATCGCTAGTCGGTTTGCTCGGAGGTAAAATGAGGACTTCAACAAAAGGAATTTGAGAAGGTATATATTTTATTAAACACGTGGACAGGTATATTTTTAACTAGCCAATAGGTTCGCTTTATCATCCCTAGTGGGGGCAAGTTCCTCGAGGCACAAAATAACCACGCCTGAAAACACATTCTAGCTCTAACATTCCCACGTTCGGCTCAAAATCGACATCTCTATTTTGTCTACCATCTGACCTTAAAGGTCAGCCTCAAAAGGTCTGAGCCAAAATATACTGCCACTAAAACATAATAGTCTGAATCTATTATTTAACGTTCCTTACTAAACCGTAAAAATCATTTATGGATTTTGTTTCAACTATTATATTTAACAGGCTTAATTGTGATAATCTGCTAAGGATCGAACACATAGCTAGTGTAACAGGCTAAGGCTTTTAATCTGACAATGATGCTAATCAATTTTTATCTATATGCCGTGTACCTTTATAACGTGCGCGATCACAGATCTGAATAACTTTCTGTCTTCTGTAGACCCAAGCAACATTTGATTCTATACCAACCAACTTACCATTCTGTGTAAGGCATTCACACAATCTAATTAGATAGCCTACCCGCTATACTCACTCACCCTTGTTCTATCAACGCGTCTTGTATGTTTTAAATTTTCTAAGCTGTCCATCTTCATAATGTTTCTCTTTCTTATTTCAATCATGGGTGTCATTTTTGTAACAGGTTTCATTTCCTGTATGATCTTGTGCCCTCTCCCCCACCTCTCTCTCACTCTCGCTGTATTCATAACATCTTTTTGTAGAACCATATCTCTCTTCCTCTTTGAGTCGCTTCTTACGGTCAAATCACGCTGAAAACACCGGTTCTCGTTCGATCACCGAAGTTAAGCATCGTAGAGCCAGGTCAGTACTTAGATGGGGGACCGCTTGGGAACACCTGGTACTGTAAGCCCCCAAAGTCCAACCCTTACCTCACAGTCGGTGGGGGGTAAACAAAAGTGTCAGAGCTATGCCGCCCTGAACTTCGTTCCTGGTAGGGCCACCCAAGGCGGACAGGTCTGACACACACGCCGGCTAACAAGGGCTCTGGTGAAAATCCAAGGAGCGTCTGCATCGGTAACCGGCGGCTTCTGGTCGTTCCTGTCTCTGCGTCTGTGGGAATCCCGCGGCAAGCAAGAACGTTATCCGAGTAGGCCTGGGTACCCTACTTCTGTAATTTATCCCAAGAATCTTCTTCTCATAACAGAAAGAAGCCGGCTCAATCCGCCCAGGGTGAATGCCGCATCAGTACAGTAGTAGTAACCGTTTTCATTTCCTGTATGATCTTGTGCCCTCTCCCCCACCTCTCTCTCACTCTCGCTGTATTCATAACATCCTTTTGTAGAACCATCTCTCTCTCTCTCTTTCTCTTTGAGTCGCTTCTTCATCTGGCAGGAATTGTTCTGCATTCACCGCTATACAGTGAAATATATTTGACATAATAATTCAGTATTACTCACCTTCTAACGAATTTTTCATATAGCTTAAAACTTTAAATACATGTCTTATGTCGTTATAAACCTGAGTTTAATTCGAGATGTGTTGTAACCGAGGGAAGCTTTCTGAATAAAATAACCACACAAATGTGGGTAATCAACGATAATACTTAGGACAAGAACAACACATATAAGATTCGCCAGCAGCGCGTAGAAGAAGTAGTCAACTGATAGAAATGAGTCAAGTGGATTCTTCAATGAATCTCCAACTGCAAGTTATTTACCAACCGCCCCACGCGGTCAGATGTGGCACAAGGCCGAATTTAATATGGTGTATTCGAGACTGTAAGCTCGGACAAAAATTCTCCGTAGACCCCGTATAAAACGGGTTCGGGTAGCTGTTTCCCGAGACTAGACGCTGCCTTTCGACATGGCCTTGTCTGGGAATCATCTCTCAGCGCAAAATCTTCAGCGATTTACTTTCCAGCAAGATAATGATCCCAAATCTACATCTAAATCAGTGTCTGCGTGGCTTCAGAAAAAGAAGGTTAGCGTTCTGCCATGGCCTTCAGTGAGTCCTGACTTGAATCCTATTGAAAATATATGGTAAGAATTGAAAGTTTGAATAAATCGTGGGTCACCAAAAAATCTTCAGAAGTTAGAACGTGTAACCATTGAAGAATGGAAGAAAATCACAGAAAAGACTTGTTAAAATCTCATCAAAAACTTTAGAAAACGATTGCAGCAAGTTATAAAATGAGAAGCCATGCTATTGACTATTAACATTGTTTCAATTTTTTTCTATTTTTCATACTGTATGAATAATTTTGACGTTTCTTATTTTGCTTAATTCGCCTGTAAAATTTGGTGTTTTTATCCTATTGCTCTGAAAAATTGAGTTTTGTATTCTTAACATAAGACATGATATCATACGGGCATTAGATTCTGAGGAATGGATAAAAATATTCCCATTTTTGGGGGGAGGGGAGGGTGAACGATTAATTTCATCATCGACTATATTTTTCTGAATTGTAAAGTCCCAATGAATAAAAAATTCTCAGCCTTCCATTCTCTGTAAAAATGCTTGCAAGTTATTTAAACTTCTTCACCTGCTCGATGTTTACATCTCCAATTCGTAACACTCATCATAGGCTTTTTATAGTCCAATGCATGTTTCGAATCACGGTGTCGCATTTTCTATGTCTTCCTGAAGTTGATAGTCCTTTTTTCTCGCTTTCTTCCATAATCCTGTCTAGGAGGTCCTGTAGTTTTCTTTCTAGGTCGGCCATTAACAGAGTTTCATCTACGTATCTTGTATTGTTAAGTTTACCCCCACTGATAATAAATACTTGTAGCAACTCCAATTTCATAAGGACAGTCTCGTCGTAGAGTTTAAATACATCCTCCTTTTTTTGTTTAATGTAAGCAAAAGGTTTGGAAGGAAAATCTAATCAGTATTAGAGTATTAACAAATAGTGGACTTGAAATGTCTAATTCCTGAAAAAATTGTTTTAATAGAAATATTCTATAAATTTCAACTAACAATAATATTATCCATCAATGTCTGCCGGATATTTCTTGTATGAAAATGACTAATTTCTACATTTCTATCGTCTCTTGGTTTTGAATCGGTTTTATTTTAGAAAATTCTTAATGTTCAATCTGTAATTCACAATCAGAAAGAGACAGTTGAAGATGAGAAAAGAGGGCCAGGAGAACTTTGCACTCACTAGTCATACCGAAGACAGAACAAGCAAGTTTAAGTGACTGGATGACAGATATGGTAATGAAGATGAGGATAACAGTGAAATTGGCTGG